TTTTTTATTTCAATGACATTTGCTAAGAAATTTTTATACATTTTATTTGACAATAACAAAATAATATATATACAATTTATTTTCGTTCACATCATGCACATTTTACTTAATGTTTTATAATTTTTGGAGTTTGTGTAGATTTTCTGGGGGGCAGAGTGAATGATACTAATAAATTTTATTAGTGGTTGGGTTCGTCAATAATAAACTACCATGTTCTAAAACAACATTAACTGAAAGAAAGCATTAAATCACATTGCATCCTTGACTGTTACTGACTTGTAATGATCTGCACAGAACTGTACTCTTCTGCAGGCATTGTCAGATCATGTAAATACCTTAAACAAAAATCAACTTATCAATAAAACCGAATACTAAAATCACACAAAATAATATCTGTTATCCTTACCTTGTTCTCAGTCTCAAACTGCCCCAATCGCCTATCGGTGTAATACCAGACAACTGATGCCAATCTTCTCTTTCCTGACCGTTTCCTAGAGTTGATAAATCAACTACTAATTCTGCAACTTCTGAGTCTTTTCCACGTTTTCCTCGATTTAAAACTGTTATGGTGAACGATACCACGTCTGATGGTACATCCCTGTTGGAGGAATTTAAATAAATATTATCGACACAATAAAAATGTTTCAGATAAATTGAAGAAGTGCAGAGAAAAGCACGAGAAAAGTGCGAAACAAAACTGGATCGAACCCATTCTGGAAATAGATTGATTGATTTATCTTTTATTATCATTTACAGTATACTTACTCGAGTATAAATTCTTCGTCCCAAAGAGGATCTGGTCCAGACTTGACTCTGGTTCTGGCGACTCGAACTTGATTTATCGACAAAACGCAGTATGGTTGTGGCACCAAACGTAAGGGCAGACGATGAGCATCCAGGATGTGGAGGGAAAGACATCTTAATTCTCTGGAATAAAAAATATAAAACATCAAAATAATGATTGGTAAAATTCTCTACTGTGTAAATTTAAATGTCATTAGTACTATTTTTGTTATTATTACCTTAATCTTGGAATTTTGGCCAGTAAATAAATAATAAATAAATAAAAAAAGGACAAAATAAAGTTGCTTCCATAGCAGATACTCCTGCCTGACTGAGATATTAAAATTATAAATAAATAAAAAAATAAAAATTAAATAAAATAAAAAAACAAAAATAAAATAATAGAATCAATTATTAGTCAATAGAAAGAATTTAATGAAAAAAAATATATATACATAAATAAATAAATACATAAATAAATAAATTTATCCTTCGAATTCTTCCATTTTGTGTCAATGTGTCAATTTTGTGTGCTTATTTCTGAAAAAAAAAAACAAAACACATTAAATATGCTCAACAAATATCTGAAGAAATAAAAATTATTAAATATGTTAAACAAATATTATTAATTCGAACAAAGATTCGAATTAATCCTGATCACATATAGAAAATAAAAAATAATGTTTCTATATTTTTATATTTATTTATTCATTTTTATATTATATTATTTTATATTAAATGAAAATTAATATTTTATGACAAAGTGGTAATTAATTTTACCCAAGGGCTTAAATGGTTCCAAGTTGATAAAAAACAATTCTCTGAAAGTTTTAGCTCTTAATATTAACTTTTAGATAGTGCGCAAATCAATCAAATCTTCGTATGAAAATAGCATAGAACTAGTGGGGTGGGTGGCATCGTGCCTTAAGGCAAATTGCTGGAACTTCCCGTACCGTAACGAAATGTTCGAGGAATACTGAATGTTTTCAAATAGATTATTATAAATATTGTAACATTGTCTAATATTTATAAGAATTATATAAACTGAATTGCAAAGTTAAAATCACTTGTTTAAAGTATATTAGAACTTTAGTCAGAATTAAAAATAAAATCTGAATTATTTTCGATATACAAAAAAAAATGAAACAAAATTTTTTTTCCAAAATCAATTATTTTGTTAAGACAAGCAGAAAGTTCTTTGAATCATTCAAATCGGACGCTTAGTTCTCTCAAAAACTGTCATTTTTTACATATTTAGCTCCGTATCTTAGAAATGGCTGGGCCTGCCTTTGCCAAAAACTAATAAACACTTCTCCCAATCATTACTAATTGAATGTTATTTAGATTATTCAAATCGGATACTCCGTTCTCTCAAAAAGACGATTTCTATTTTCTGCACTCTTTGCTCTGTATCCCCGAAACGGCTGGACCTGCCTTTGCCAAAAACTAATCAGCTCTTTTCCCTATCGATAGGAATCGAATGTTTTTTGAACCATTCAAATCGGTTGATCCGTGCGCCCGAAAACGTGACTGGAAATTTGTATCCATACACACACACACATTCATTTTTTTTTGAGGTATGCCAAAATATTCAGAAACCTTCAAAACGTCGAGAAATGTAAAAATGTTCAATTCCGATTATCGGCCCATTACAATAACTTACCCTACGGTAAGTTAAAAAAATGATACAATGAACATGACAAAATTTACTATATTTTTGAGGATTTGAATTTGAAGGAGGTGTGATGAGAAAAAACCTTAATTAGTACAACTAGCACTATGTGTTGAAATAAAACTTTCTTTACTTACTTTTTGTTTTGCGGTTTTCTTCTTATCCCGGAATAATAGTACCGGTTATCACCTCGAGAACCGAGGCGTCTCGCGCCCACACCCGGGAATACAAAACGGACCACCTTGCCGAAGTTGGCTCTATTAATTGGATCCAAGTTATATTTTAAGCAATGGCAGAAGTATTGCTTGTACACCATCACCCTGGGTATACACACGCCCTTGGCTCTCTCGTAGAATTTACGCAACCATAAAACCTAGCAGAAATGATGAAATTTAAATAAGGGATTCTATCATATCATTTTACAATCCTGATAAAAGTTGGCAACACAACTTTAGTACATGTTTTTTTAAAGAAGCTTCTCTCAAAGTCGACCGATTTTAAAGATTTTAGAATCATAGTTCAACAAAAAGTAATTCGTAATTCGTAATTCTTAAAGACTTATTATCACACACAACATAAGTTTAAACTTTTTGATTATAAAATAATGAATTGAATCAGTTGTACTATATATAATAAATATAACTGATTATAAATTACCTCCAATAGTCTGCTGTTGCTTCTATGTTCACCGCCTTCCATTTTATTATTTACGTCTGAGCTTCGACTGACTTTAATAACGTCTGAACTTCAACTGACTATAACTGAGCGACTATCCATCTTTTAAATGCTACGGTGTGCAACGGTTGCCAGGAAATGAGCAGGAGTGCTAGTAGCATAGATAAGTAAACATAAAGCTAGTCGATTATATTAATTTTCCGCTCCTGCTATAGAGGCGCGACGAGTGTAGCATGAAAATCTACACTAGTTCAATAATGTTCCTAGAAACTTTTTGCATCATTTGGCTAATGAAATCTAACTTTTCCAAAATTTCAGCTTGTATTATTATTGAACTACTAAATTAATTGGATTTAATTCTCATTGCAAAACATTCAACTTCACGCCGAACTGTTCAAGTAGAAGATTTCTCGGCTATTTCTATAGTCTATTATTTATGCTGTAGTGGTCTAATCGCCTTAATTTTTGCTTCCCATCGAGTATCGCAAACTTGTTTCAATGTTAGTGATTTTATATTGCTTCTTAATATTTGCCACATAAATGGTGAATCACTGAAAAACTGTAAATATCAATATTACTAAAAAAATCGACCGATGAAAATTAACTTTTAGCATCATTAATGGCCAAAATTAATGTATGCGCGTTGCATGGCATAAATAAAGCTCATTGACAATGCCAAATTGAACACTCGAGCGCAAGCAGAAAGCAAAACAACAATTAAAAAAAAAATTGAATAATTTTAATGTAGTTTGCATTTCCTTTTGTTATCGAAAGGTATTAAATTTAAGCTAACGCACATCCGATAAGTTAATATTGTATAGATTGTCAACAAATCTATACAAATAATTCAGATTTTACATTTACATCCATATCAATAAATAAACTAATATCCATATCAATAATATCCATATCAATAATATCCATATCAATAAACCTTTAATAAAGGTGCGTCCACACCTAACGAACGAACACGAACGAACATAAAGAACGTACCAGAACGAACGGCAACAGCATAGTGTGGACGCCACAACGATCACGAACGAACATAAACAAACATGGCGAGCAATGTTCCGCAACTTGTCGGTACATCAAAGGGAATTGTTCGTTCATGTTGAACTCGTATGTGCAGTGTGGACGCTACCACGAATGTAGACAAACATTTTTCTTTTTTGGTGTTAAAATGTGCATTAATGCATTAATTTATGTTGTATTTATTATAAGATATTGCTGTTATTGACAAATTTTGTAAATTTGATGACTTTAAATAATTTTTCTCTTTCCCGCCACTTTAAATAATAAATCTGACGTTTCACGGTACATCCTCGAACAAAAAGATTCAAACCCTCACTGCTTTGAGGCGTTTGTTTGGAATTTTTCGCGTTCGTTCGTGTTCCTGTTCGTTCTATTTTGTATTTTCTTGTTCGACATGTTCGTTCGTGTTCGTTCGTTAGGTGTGGACGCACTTTAAAACTGACGTTTCACGGAACATCTACGAACAACGAAAATTCAAGCGCTCACTGCTTTTAAGCGCTTGTTCAAGTTTGTTTGGAATTTTTCGCGTTCGTTCGTGTTCCTGTTCGTTCTTCTTGTATTTTCTTGTTCGACATGTTCGTTCGTGTTCGTTCGTTAGGTGTGGACGCACCTTAATAAACACCGGGTTAAAAAAGTGCTGAACAAAAAAATCACGGTACCAACATTAAAAAAATCAGAAATTCTTCTGAGCAGGGGCACCAACAGCAGAGCATTCATATATTGTCGTGTCAAAAAATGGCCGCCAGTGACTGGATGAGGAACCGTGTCGACATGTGGTCAGTCTATTCTAGTTGATTCCGAGTGCGGTTTCGTTCAATTCGTTTCCAGTTCCATCAGTACGCTTTCAGCTTGCTTTCCTTCTTCGGTTCAGTTTCGAGTTTCCTTCCGAGTCAGTCGAGCTTAGAAGTTTTGTTGAGTTTCCTTTTATTGTTCAAAGTGAGGTCATTTTTTTTAGTTTGTTATTATCATAGAAGAAGAACGTTTTAGTTTCAAATACAGTCCATATCCAGTCCAAGAATACCAGCCATGCGTGTGGTCTGCTAATCGAATCAAGGCCACACCACATTTTGGCCTTCCGAGCCGGATCTCAATTAAGATTGAGAGTTTCTACAAGTTGCCAATTCAGAATCTAAGTACTAATTTACAAGTATATATATATATATATATATATATATATATATATATATATTTGCATTTACCGGATATCAAGGTAAGGTTATTATATTTCCAAGTTATATAATCCTAAACATGCCGCCTAAGAGTGTATCTGCCAGTGCTGAAGTCGCACGACTAATTTCAAAACGAGAAATGTATTTTTCCATTATACAGAAGACGTATGACTTGAGCAGAGATGTGGAAGATGCGTCAAGCAAGCAACAATTCTGTACGAACCTGGTAATGTTAGATAACATTCGAGATCAATTCATAAAACTTACCGACGATATTAATAAATTAAACGCGTTGGAAAATCCCAGTTTCGTACCGGATTATGCTGCCCTTCTATCCGTGGAACAATTATACGCGGAGATAAAATATATTGAAAAAATTATTTCTGCTGTAAATAATACTTCCTCTTTTACAAAAAGTGAAGATTTCCCATCTAAATTTATTTCAAAATCCCGTCTACCAACAATTGAAATACCCAAATTTGCGGGTGATTTCAAAAAAATGGCCGCTGTTTTACGAAACATTTAAAACACTTATACACGAGAATCTCGAGATTGATATGCTATCCAAATTTCATTATTTAATGGGCGCATTAGAAGGCCCAGTAATGAAAATTTTCAATACTATATTACCTACCGCCAATAATTATTCAATTTTATGGAAAGCACTGATAAACAAATACGAAAATAAACGTTATCTGGGCATTAACCATTTCAAACAGTTAATGTCTTTTAAAACTGTAAACTCATCACAGTTGCATAACTTCATCGAGAAATTTGACACTGCTGTACAAGCATTAAATCAATTAAATATTCCAGACCTGTATGATTTTTTACTAACATCGATCGCTCTATCCAAATTAGATACCAATTTACAAGAAAAATTTGAAAATTATTTTCAGGGCGAATATCCTTCCTATAAATAATTATTACAATTCATAAATAAAGTGCAAAAAAGGTCAAAGTTATATTTATGATTTGCGCGAGAAGGTTACAAAACCCAACATTCCTCATGCTTTGGTAACCAGCGGTGTCAAATCGCTTCAATGTTACTTATGCAACGAAAGTCATAATATTTTTAAATGCTCGCAATTTCTTGAATTAAATATCAATGACAGATGGTCGGCAATTAAGAGATTGAATCTTTGTTCGAATTGCCTGGGTCATAAACGTAACAATCCGTGTCATTCTAAGAAAACATGTCTGTATTGTAATTCAAAACATCATACTTTATTACATTCAAATAATTGTGCTGACAATACAAAACAATTTCCAATAGATAGTCATTCCAAAAATTCGAAACAGAAAACTTCCGATTCCAATCCAAGTAATACTTTATGCATTGTAAATGGATCAGATTTATCACATTATATAAATCTTATGCCGACCGGAACTGTTTATGTTTTGGCAACAGGTATTAAAACTAGTCCGTTACGTGTCATTATTGATACTGCAAGCGATCGCAACTATGTGACTGAAAATGAGTCATTCTGTAAATCCGCTCAACTAGAGATAACACCGATCGATGCTCAAGTCATTTCTATAGGTAACTCTTCGCAAAAAATTACGGGCATGGCAAATTTTATTATTATGTCGAATGATTGTTCCTTTCAAATGTCTGTATGTGCCTATGTGATTCATGAAATTGTCAAACCACAACCGACCATTAAAATTCCCTTCGATTGCATTAATAAATTTTTATCTTTACAACTGGCGGATAATAAATTTTTCATTCCTCAAACTGTTAATGGAATCTTGGGTTGTGATGTATTTAATGCTATTATTATGTCAAATCACATAAAAACCGTCGATTCACCTATCGCATTGGATACAAAATTGGGTAATGTAATAATGGGATCTCTTCCAAACGTTGCATCGCCTGATTCAAGTTCGACAAATCTATGCACGATTGAACATGATTCCTTATCTAAACAAATGAAAACATTCTTTGAGTTAGAAGATGTACCTGACATGATTGTGTCGGAAAACGATTATTGCGAACAGTTTTATACGTCCACCACAGTACGGAATTTCGATGGACGTTACGTGGTCGCATTACCATTTCGTGACAACGTTAATGTAAATTTTCAGAAATCATATGAACTCACGCATAAACGTTATAGGATTTTAGAACAAAAATTTCGGAAATCTTTTGAATTCCATAAACAATATTCAGAAGTAATTCAAGATTATTTACAACAAAAACACATGTCATTTTTAGGCCATGTAAATGATTCTGCAGCCAATGAAGGGTATTATATTCCACATTTCGCCGTGATTAACACTAATCATACCAAGCCTTAATATATACCTAATTCTACCATAGCGGGTCAAATGACCCGATGATCATGTTTGAATGTATGAAATATGGATGCTAGGAAGAAAATAAAAATAAAAATTTATTATGATTGAACAAAAAAGTATGTTGAGTATTTCTATTACAAAAGCAAAAATAAGCATAAGCATTTAGTGTCTATTGTACATTGTCCGCAAACATATTTTTTACATTTAGAGCAAATTTTGTTGGTTTTATTTTCTTTACAGTAACCTATTTGACATCTCATACGTTTATAAGCATCTATAGTAGACTTAGGCAACGATACTTTTGTATTTGTTTCTTGTTTTGGTTTTGGTCTTCTGCTAGCTTGAGTAAAAAAAACTTGTCGCGAGATATTTTCTCCTATCGTTTGCTTGTACAAAATCTAGGCATTTATGCCAGCTAAATCAAGGATATTGAAAAAAACTTGGAGAGGCCATCAGCAAGACTTGGATTTTGTAGTAAATTTCCTCGCCATTTGATCGGTCATGTCTACACCAAATTTGGTTTTATTGTAATATGAAACAGTTTCAGGTAAATGTTTATCATTCTTTTCTTCATCGTCGGTATCTGTTGAATCCAACTCATTTTTATTTTCAACCAATATATCTTCATTATCTGAAAATAATCTTCACTAATTTCTGAAAACTCTTCGCCAATATTATTTCTATCTTCTAAGAACTTGTAATGTCTTGTTTGCTTCGACATTTTTCTGGGTAAAAAATAACCTGTATAACTATAGCTATCAAAATAAAATATAAACTAGGTACTTACCAAGACTTTCAATTTCTGCCACTTTTTCTAACAATAAAAAGCTATTTTCAATCAAAATTTGATATTTTCTTGAAATTATTCTGAGCTATTTTCGTTGAACTACTTTACGCAACAGTGTTTAGAAGAATGTGCAACTTACTGACTACAAATATGACTTGACAATCTCATAAACCAAAAAATTCTCTCCGGGTCAAAAGACCCATTGTGGTAGATATCGGTATACAAGAAGGATTACTCAGAATAAACAAAACAAAACAAGAAAAAATTTTTGTTAATAACTGTACTTTAATTACTTAAACGCAATGAAATTATACGTGCATTTTCAATGCAAAAGTTCAAAATGGGTCATTTGACCCGTTATGGTATGTTTAGTGTTAAAGACAGCTCCTCCACACCGTTACGAATTGTATTTGATGCATCAGCAAAGAATGCTGAATTTCCTTCCCTGAATGCCAACCTATTTTCCGGGCCAAAGCTACAGTCTAACATTATCACAATTCTTCTTAATTTTCGTTTTGGCGAAATTGCGTTAACGGCCGATATTAAACAGATGTACAGAAATATATTAATTCGTGATCAAGACAGACGATTTCAAAGGATACTTTGGAGATTTTGTCCGAAAGATCCCCTCGGCATTTATGAATTAAACACTGTCACGTTTGGTATTACGTCATCTCCTTTTCATGCGTTACGCACTATTAAACAGCTAGCTAAAGATGAGAGCAAAAATTACCCCTTAGCCACTGATATAATTCAAAATGATATTTATATCGACGACGTGGTTACTAGTGCAGACACCGTCGAAATCGCAAAACAACTTTACGTTCAATTATCGAGTTTGTTCCGTTCCGCGCGTTTTGAACTAGCAAAGTGGGCTTTGAATGATCGTCTAATGTGTAAACAATTTGAATCACACCATAAAACACAAATTAATTTTTCACAAGCAATCTCTGAATTTGATACTGCCGTTAAAGTATTGGGATTGAGATGGGATCCAATTCAAGATTGTTTCAAATTTAATATCAACCTTCTCCATCAAAATTGGACAAAACGCCATATATTATCCTATGGGATCCTTTAGGTTTTATTACGCCTGTTACAATCAAATTCAAAATGATCATTAAAGAACTATGGTCATTAAAATTGGATTGGGATGAGCCATTACCTTCCTCATTAGTTGTAACATGGTTTAGTATTTATAATCAACTTCCAGAATTAATTAATCTTTCCATTCCTCGATTTGTAGGTACCAAAAATTATATTCGTTGTTCTCTTTACGGTTTTGCGGATAGTTCAGAAAAGGCTTATGGGGCTGTGATTTATATCAAGCCTTGCCATGATAATAAATATTACCTTCTTGTTTCAAAATCAAAAATTACTCCAATTAAAGTTCAAACTTTAGCTAGGTTAGAGTTGTGTGCGGCGCATTTATTGGCAAAATTATTATCCTTTGTCATATCTTCCAATCATCATTCTTTATGTATCGACGAGGTATATGGTTTTACGGACTCGATGATAGTGCTTCATTGGTTAACAGGTCCAGCTCATAGATGGAAAACTTTTGTCGCAAATAGAGTAACGAAAGTTCATGATTTAATTCCTTCTGCCAAGTGGTATCATATTCCTTCCGAGGCAAACATTGCCGATTGTGTTTCTCGTGGTTCGTTGCCAAATACTTAATTGCTTAATAATAGTAATTGGTTCAAAGGTCCCTCGTGGCTTTACTCTCAAAGAAGACATTGGCCCATACGTTCTGCGGTAGATTCCATGCAAAATGTTCCAGAAGAAAAGGTTTTCTCTTGCTTAATGGTAAACTCCTGTAAAAATGATCTATACGAATTTACTTCCACTATATCTTCATGGACCAGACTATGCAGAATATTTGTATTTATTTTACGTTTCTGCAAAATTATTCCATCTAGAAGTGTAATATATTTTTCAGATTTCAACAAAGCCGAATTAACTATAATCAAACTTATCCAACAAATCTATTTTTTTTCGAAGAAATTGATTGTTTGAAAATGAAAAAGTTTCCTAAAAGGTATCGGACTTTACGACTATTTTTACATGATGGGTTCTTAAGAGTTGGTGGACGTTTAACACATGCTAACCTGAATTTTGATCATAAATTTCCCTTGCTTTTACCCAAAAAGGATCACGTGATAAATTTAATAATTGATTATTATCATGAGAAACATTTACATGCTGGTCCACATTTACTCACTTCCATTCTTCGTCAAAGATACTGGATTTTATCCATTTGCAGTATTGTACACCAACGTATTCATAAATGCAATAGGTGCTTTAGGAGTAATCCTAAATCCTTTACTCCTATTATGGCTGATTTACCTTCTCCTCGTGTTATGGAGGCAAAACCTTTTCAGCACACCGGTACTGACTGGTCCCTTTCACGTAACCATGGGAAAATTTAGGGGCGTGAAAAGTTCAAAAGCATATATTTGTTTATTTATTTGTTTTTCCACAAAAGCAATACATATTGAACTTGCCTCCGATTTAACAACTTCGACGTTTTTAAATTGTTTTAAACGCTTTATTTCACGAAGAGGTCCAGTTTCTTGTTTGTATTCAGATCGCGGAACAAATTTTGTTGGTGCCAAATCAGAACTGAAACATATATTTCAGCTTATTAACTCAAAAACATTTAGTGCATCATTAAACTCCGAACTTCACAAGCATAATATCAATTGGTCTTTCAATCCGCCAGCCGCACCCCACTTCGGGGGTTTGTGGGAGTCCAACATAAAATCTATAAAAGCGCATTTATATCGAGTAATAGGTGAACAAATTCTTACTTACGAGGATAATTAAATACCGTGTTAATCCAAATTGAGGCGCTTCTCAATTCTCGACCATTATTTTGGATGAGTTCAGATCCAAGTGATCCTCAACCTCTTACGCCAGCTCATTTCCTCACTTTGACTCCCTTAAACATCCTTCCATAAAAAAACATATTGCAAATAGATTTACCGACGCGAAAACAATTAATTGATAAAATAAATTGATAAAACTTTTGACGTGATTGTAAATCACTTAAATATTCAAAATGCCATCTCTTCCAGCAAGATTGTATTATTTTATTACAATCTTGCTGGAAGAGATGGCATTTTGAATATTTAAGTGATTTACAATCACGTCAAAAATGGAACACCCCTTCTCTCCCGGCTAAAAAGGGTATGTGAGTTCTAATCAAAAATGAAAATTTGCCTCCTCTTCAATGGTCCATGGGGGTTATTGAAGACGTTTTTCCTGGAAAAGACGGAGAGGTGCGGACAGCTTTGGTAAGAACCAAGGCTACGTTATTGAAACGCCCTGTAGTAAAGCTCTACCCCCTACCTACACAGTAATTTATGGTGAGGAAATATGTTTTTTCATATTTGCAAACGATATAAAAAAAAGTCTAATGCTTTTATTTGTTACCTTTCAATTAATTCCTTCCTTTTACCTTTTACCATTATATGTAGTAACTTTATCAGTAACTTGCTTCTATTCAGAGGAATCGCATGACAACTCAATCACACTCAAGAGCAGCAGAATGTTATTTGCTCAGTTGTTCTCACAACTTTTGATAATATTCAAAAATCTGTATATTCAAGAATATCGAATGCTATGAATCATCATAATATTGCAGTTATTGTGAAAATGCCTTTGATTTGGAAATGAATACGGCCCCATAGTGGACGCACTCCAGATCCGAACTGGTTGTTTCAAATCATGCTGGTTACTCAAAAATAAACTACAACCATCACAACAAATCCACGAAACAAGGTCAATGAAATTTTAATTCCTATTCAACATAAAGGCATCTTATATATGGCAATTGTTAATTCCACCAAGACAAATTCTCATGTGTTCCGAAAACAAGCATGTATGATGCAAACCTAAAATAATTACCAGTGGTGCTATATGCAAGTCTCATGGAAGTTATATCTATTAGAATATTTTGAAATCATTTACATTATCATTACAGCAAGATACTGAGCAACTATAATATATTTTAAACAAATAACAAGGTTACTGCTTTCCTGTCAAGATTACTTATCCTTAACATTGATTCTGATTGGTGAACATAGAAGCATTAGATATTCCGTCAAAACTTGTACTTTCTAGATTCAATTAGGAATCGACATGTTATTTCTTCACCATCTCTCACGTGTTTTATTTTCGCATAGTTTGATATTTCCATTTATATTTTCTTGTATTTAAAAGGTACCCTTTTCGCCCGGGGAAGAAATTGTGACGCCACCATGACTATTACATGCGTCGATAATAATAATATAGTCGCCATCTCGGGGTTGCAATATGTCAACCGATTTATTTCTTTCTAATCCAGACTACCTGTCTATTTCCTCCAAAACCTTAGACTTCCGACATGTGCTCAGTCTGTTCTAGTTGATTCCGAGTTCAGTTCCGCGTTCAATTCGCTTCCAATTCCATAAGTACGCTTTCAGCCTGCTTTCCTTCTCTGGTTCAGTTTTGAGTTTCCTTCCGAGTCAGTCGAGTTTAGAAGTTTTGTTGAGTTTCCTTTTATTGTTCAAAGTGAGGTCATTTTTTTAGTTTGTTATTATCATAGAAGAAGAACGTTTTTAGTTTCAAATACAGTCCAAGAATACCAGCCATCCGTGTGGTCTGCTAATCGAATCAAGGCCACACCAATTTCTAATTTCTCAAAAAATTTAGAAAAATCGTTTTTTTTTAATTTAAAAAAAAAATCGATGTTCTGAAATAATAACAAAATTTTGAAAAACAGTATTTTCATAATAAGCAGAAAAGTCTGAATTTAATAAAAATTTATGAATTATTAGAAAAAATTATTTATTTTCTTCATATGCTTATTTTTCAGATCTGCTTAATGATGGCACGCACTTATTATAAAAATGTACAAAATAAATATGTTACCCTACTTAACAATTTTGATTTTTTTTGAAAATGAATTTCAAAAAAAAATCCCTACTCTGGGTTACTTAAAGGCATTTTCTTGATTTTATTTGAAGGCTTTTACTTATCAACTAATTCTTTGCAATCCCTGCAATTCCTTTTAATAAGCTAGTTTTAATATCTCGTTTTATTATTCTACTTCTCCAACTTTGATCTGTTTTCATACTGTATAAGATGAACAAAGTCAATAACATATACACTGGCACAAATAAGGACTTCGGCCTCCTCACAGTTGTTATTGGAGTGCTGTTCTAACTCGGCGCTTGTTCGCTCGTCGAACTGCCACCAACCACTTGTGTAAAACTAGTGCCGCAGTTAATAAATAAAGGCAATACTATAAAATTATAATATACATATTATATATAAAGAATTATTTACTAACCATTTCTCCCTTTATAAAACCATTGATAACTATCAGGAGCTGGTTTTGGCTTCTCATAATTTTCCACAAGATAAGGATGCTCCAAAAAATTAATGGGTATGTCTGCTCGACATAAAGCGCACCTATTACTTTGAAATGCTACTCCTAAAAATACACCAAATCTACTTAATAAACAGTATTATTATTGTTTTAATATCTCGTTTTATTTTTCTACTTATCCAACTTTGATCTTTTTCATACTGTATAAGATCAACAAAGTCAATAACATATATACTGGCACAAATAAGGACTTCGGCCTCCTCACAGTTGTTATTGGAGTGCTGTTCTAACTCGGCGCTTGTTCGCTCGTCGAACTGCCACCAACCACCTGTGTAAAACAAGTGCCGCAGTTAATAAATAAAGGCAATACTATAAAATTATAATATACATATTATATATAAAGAATTATTTACTAACCATTTCTCCCTTTATAAAACCATTGATAACTATCAGGAGCTGGTTTTGGCTCCTCATAATTTTCCACAAGATAAGGATGCTCCAAAAAATTAATGGGTATGTCTGCTCGACATAAAGCGCACCTATTACTTTGAAATGCTACTCCTAAAAATACACCAAATCTACTTAATAAACAGTATTATTATTGTTTTAATATCTCGTTTTATTTTTCTACTTCTCCAACTTTGATCTTTTTCATACTGTATAAGATCAACAAAGTCAATAACATATACACTGGCACAAATAAGGACTTCGGCCTCCTCACAATTGTTATTGTAATGCTCTTCTAACTCAGCGCTTGTTCGCTCGTCGAACTGCCACTAACCACCTGTGTAAAACAAGTGCCGCAGTTAATAAATAAAGGCAATACTAGAAATCATTTATAGGATAAAAGATAAAAGACAAATCAGTGATTTTTGTTGTAGGGACGCATTTGGTATATTAAATACGACACATGACGGTTGAATAATGTTAAAATTATAATATACATATTATATATAAAGAATTATTTACTAACCATTTCTCCCTTTATAAAACCATTGATAACTATCAGGAGCTGGTTTTGGCTGCTCATAATTTTTCACAAGATTGGGATGCTCCAAAAAATGATTCGGTATGTCTGCTCTACATAAAGCGCACCTATTATTTTGAAATGCTACTCCCTAGAATACACCAAATCTACTTAATAAACAGTATTATTATTGATTACAAACTATTTGATACTTTATTACCTTAATACAAAGAAAGTAAAATATGTGTCCACAAGGCAAGCGGGCTGGGTGAATACAAGTTTGTAAGCAAACCGGGCATTCTAGAACTCCTGTGGAAAATCAAGTGTGATTTATATTTATTATAGTGATTATATATTAATTTATCTATACCTTCGTTTTCTGGCACTGTGCTGTCGTCCAAACAAATCACTTCAAGAGAATTACCTTGAGCCATGGTATTAAATTTTTGGCTAAATACACGGCTCTAAACGGCTTATTATATTGTCTAGGTCAGCGATGTCCAACCTAAATTACTCTTTGGGCCAAAATTTAGGAATATACAAGGCACTGGGCCGCAACAAATCTGGAAAAACTCCGTGAAAAACACCGTGTTAAAACACGGCTCTAAACACCGGAAAAACATTATTATTGAGTAATGCTTCAATCAATGTTATGTGTGAGTCTAGCTTGAATGAAGATATTCTAGCTTTATCTAATGTGATTACTGATGAATTTACATTAGAAAAAGAAAGTAGTAGTTTACTTCATCTTCAAGTTATTACATACATGACTGGCTTCATTTCCAGGAAAATGTTGAAAAATGTTAAATCTTGCTTGATGTGCAAGACTCATATTTTGGCAACAAAAAAGAGTGGAGATGATTATTGGTTAATAAGGGTTAGGGATCGGACTGGAAGATCTCTTGTCTTTCCTTGTAGAAGCTTTGTGAACATTTTTTCAAAATGCATTAGAGTTTCAGAACATTTTTTGCCTAAAATTTGTGTGAAGAATAATTTAAAAATATTGCTTAGTTGCATTTTGGATAAACTTGTTTTTACTCAAAATTTTAATTTTGATTGTCCAATCCATAATTTAAAGTTAATATTTTTAAACCTTTTTGTTCCTTATTTTATCAGATATTGGGTTAATGATATTAATTCAGCACTACGCGGTAAAATAACTTTCACAAATCCTAGGAATGTTATGAAAACAAAAGCTTTATTGCGTTTTGATAAAATGAGAAAGAGACAGCTGGCAATTCGTAACACTAAGCGTGGCCTGCGCTAATTTTTGTTTTCAGCTGGTAAAGCGGAGGTTTTAGTTGGTATTATTTGTTGAGTCCAACATACCCAGACATAGGGCCTGGTCTGGGATGCGTAAATGCTATACAAAATAAAAAAAAAAAAAACTCGTATATATATATACATATATATATATATATATATATATATATATATATATATATATATATATATATATATATATATATAAATATATTTCACTTAATATATTTTTTACCGCTTATGAATTCTTTTCAGTCTCATTGCAGCAAGATGACATTCGTGTGGATATTTATTTATTGCATTTTATTATCATTTCTAATTGTGTACCTGAATATATTATAATTTACTGATGATGATTGTATTCTATTCCATTATATTATCATTAAAACCTTTCATATATTATAATTTATTAATCACTGATGATTGTAATTTATTAATACCCCACTTTTACAACCCCAATTTGTAGTAACAAATTAAAATTCAATACAAGTTGTTATGTCAAGTTATGTGTGTTTTGTATTTAAACCTGTAGTCATGTGTGTTTTTTCTACATTTATTGATTTGATTTGATTCCAGCATATATCATAATATATACTCTTGATTGAAATATTTTTATTATTACTTAATATATTTTTAATTTATAATTATATTTTACACAAATTTTAATACAATTGCGATGCAAAATTAAAATTCTAACAAATTATTTTTAAAATTATTTTGTTTTATTGATAGTACAATATTTTTAAAGTACAAATATTTTTATTTCAAATTTTAGCGCTTCAATTTGAATGACGATTGAAGCGCCATTGCAATATAGCGCCCGTAGCAATAACTAATTTTTTTGAACCTAAATATCGCGAGAATGAAACGTCTATATTATTATATTGTCCAGGACCGGATTAATAAAGTGCTGAAACGAAAAAATCACGGTATCAACATTCAAAAAATCAGAAATTCTTCTGAGCAGGGGCACCAACAGCAGAGTATTCATATATGTCAAAACATTTCATATAATGGTCAAAACATTCGTCGAAACTGTCGAAACTTAACCTTAATTTCTTATTTTGGTGTTTTGTAATAATTTTTCATTTTGTCAGAAATTTGTTGCAATATTGGATTTTTGTTATGTTATGGTAGATTTCTTCGAAACTTTGGTCATGTCAAGATGTTATGCTTATTTATCTATGGCGCCATCTTGTTGAACTGTCAAAATAAAACTTAGCCCAACTTAGTCTTGCAGTGAGTATTCACATTTCGACAGTTATTTCTTTCGAAGAATCAATATAGTAAATTAAGTATATTTATTTATATTATTTAATGTATAATTATTAATTAATGTATAATTATTAATTAATGTATAATCGTTCAACGCCATATACTTCGTTTATCTTTGGTGTCAAGTACTTTTACGATTGACATTGACAGCACACCAACCTAGCACACCAACCTAGGCAAGTTTTTTTTTGGAAGACTGCTGACACATCTCACGTATCTATCTATGGTTCTGAATAAAATAGAAACGTCAAAATTTATTTTGCGTTTTGATATTTCATTCTTCTATTAATTCTATTTGTGCATCATTTCTTAGATTTAGTGTAGATTATATATTACACAATATATAGTAGAAAATTTTGACGATCTAAAGTAATTGAATCGTATGTGTCGCTTGTGTATTTATAAAAATAGTAAAAGCTGTCGTGGGTGAGTCACCACATAGGATAGATAATTTTGGTTTTGGGCTAAATATTTCTATTTGTGAGATAGTTCTAAAGTCGTGACAAAGATGAGCTTTTTTAGTAAAATGTTTGGTGGTGGAAAGGGTCAAAAAGCACCCACCACCGGAGAAGCCATCCAGAAACTTAGGGAAACTGAAGAAATGCTTATAAAGAAACAAGAGTTTTTAGAGAAGAAAATTGAGATTGAAATTGGTGTTGCTAGAAAAAATGGAACCAAAAATAAAAGAGCAGCCATACAAGCTCTCAAAAGAAAAAAGCGTTATGAAAAACAATTACAACAAATTGATGGCACTCTCAGCACTATTGAAATGCAAAGGGAAGCTTTAGAAGGGGCGAATACTAATACTGCAGTGCTCACCACAATGAAAAATGCAGCAGATGCTCTGAAAGCTGCTCACCAACATATGGACGTTGATCAAGTACATGATATGATGGATGACATTGCTGAACAACAAGATGTTGCTCGTGAAATATCAGATGCAATTTCTAATCCAGTTGCTTTTGGACAAGATGTTGATGAAGATGAGTTGGAAAGAGAACTTGAAGAACTTGAACAAGAGGAACTTGATAAAGAACTTCTTGGAGTCACAACTCCTTCGGAAGACACACTTCCCGCAGTGCCTAGTGCTGAACCTGTAGCACCCAAATCAAAGAAGAAGGCAGAAGAAGAGGATCCCGATATGAAGGAATTGGAAATGTGGGCATCATAATCATAGTTTGCATAAAATCTGCTTGTAATAAAGAAATTAATTTTATATAAACATGCTTAAAGCACTACATGCCGTAAATAGATTATTCAAGTTAATGAAAAAAATATTTTGCTACTTATTCTTATAAAATGATTTTTTTACATGCTTTCGACATTTTAAATTTAAAGCAATTGTTATTTATTTGGAGTTTTGCATTCATGTAATGAAAAAACATTGGTTCACTTTAATACAACATTCAATATGTGATTTAAATTTTATTAGTACTCTGTATATATATGTATTACTAAAAAAATTCAGAACAAAAACTGTTTTTTGTAAAACAAATATGGTATACAATGGATCTGTTGAGTATTTAAAAGTTTGATATTTTCTTTTTATTTGTTTTCAAACCATTAGTTTGAACTGTAAGTTTAAACTACAAAATCACAACTACAAATATTAGCTTTTGTTTTACTAATAAAAAAAAACATAGATAAGTCACTTCAATAATATATACTCTAATATTGTTATATACATAGACCTATGTTGCTTGCAGATAATGTAGGTTTACAGCTGCATATAAATAAATTAAAATAACTAATGTGAAATTTTATTTTTAAATTATTCTTTATTAATTAAGTTTGTTATGAATTTATGAATAATTTAAAGAGAAAGGTACAAACAAAAAAAACACAAATCTTCAATGTTCGATATCACAATCATTAATTGATTATAGTTAGTGGTAAATAACAAATCACATTTCTAACTTACTCTTTGTTTCGATTAGATATATATTTTGAAATAAATTATTCAACTACAACAAAAATAACAATTGCCATAAAACTTTGTTCTTATTCTCAGTTAAATTATAGTTTCCCGTTATGGCATACCGTCAAGTTTTTGATTGACTAAAATAAACTCTGGTAAACTAATAATTATCTACAATATAACAAATTGAATAAGTGATTGTTATTAAATAATAAAATAGCATCGAACATAGTTTTACGTGCTTTCAACTTCTATCAGAAGTAATAATAATTAGTTATAAACCATGAATCAATAATAATAATCATGATGTTACGAAAAGAAGTTACGAAATAGTATTAAACAACTTATAAATCTTTTGTTTTATTTTTTTGTTATTACAGAATGGTTAATTCATGATTGGCTGTAACTTTAAATCATAAGTGCATATATGCGACAGATGTCGCATTCCAATTTGTATGTATTCCAATACTGCACACTAAAATATAGAATGTAGGTGCTTAAGATAGCCTTTCATTGTTGTTCTCGGGTTATATTGTTTTACCATATATGATGGATAATACACCTACGGGTAAAAATCCGAAATAAGAAATATTATTTACACGTTTATATTCACTGAAATATATTTATTTATTATTATTATTATTATTCTCTTCTATTATATTATGATAAATAAGGTACATTAATGTATTGTTGTTTGTTTGTTTGTTTGTTTGCTGTGTATTTATTTCAGATAAATTGTATTGAAGACTTGTATTGAAACCGAGTTTCACAAAATGAATCAAGCCTGCTCAAGATAAAATGATGATAGCTGAAGAAAATGAAAAAAGAAGTTGAAGATTTGGAAATACTATGCTGTATGATGATAGGCTGGTGTTTACTGAACTTTGAAGTCACTTTGCTGCTGCCTTGAAGAATTTGAGTCTGCTTGGATTGATATGCTTAAAATGTATGTTAATTAAACTTTGTCATAATTATATTTATTCATGTAATGTATGTTTGCTTATGATGATTTTTTTACTAGGCTTTGAATGCTGATAATGCTTTTCCATAAGACGATGAAGACTTTCCAGACTTTGCTGCTTCAAATGCTTTTGATGCTTTTTAATGAGACGAAAAACTTCTTCCAGACTTTGTTCCTAATGAATTCCTTCCAGACTTTGCCGCTTTAAAAAATTTGGAGTTTGCTTCAATCACTTATAATAAAATGTATGTTGATAAAATTCAGTTGTTTTTATTTATTTATTTATTTATGTAATTCAATTGACTTATATTGTTGTTTCTTTATTTCCAGACTTTGATGCCTTGCCAAACGAAGCTTTGCTTTCCCAAAAAAAAATTTCCCATTTTTTTCCCAAAATTTTTTCCCAAATTTTTTTTCCCCAAAATTTTCTTCTACCCTAAAAAGTTTTTCCAAAAAAATTTTTTCCCCAATTTTTTTTTCAAAATTTTTGTTTCCAAAATTTTTGGAATTTTTTGAAAAAAAAAATAATTTCCCCTGTTTTTTTTCCCCCAAAGTTTTTTCCACAAAATTTTCTACCCTAAAATTTTTTTCCCCAAAAATTTTTTTACCAAAATTTTTCTCCAAAATTTTTTCTCATTTTTTTTTCATTTCATTTTCATTTTTAATTAAATTTAGTCAAATACTACTATAAATTACACTAAATTTGCGGATAAATTACAGAATATTCGAGCAAAAATTTATTTTCTATATAAAATTTGAAAACCGGTTTTTTAGTAAAATTAAAATTCGAAAACCGGTTTTCTGAAATGTCGTTTTTTGTATAAACCTTAATATATATGTCAATATATATATATATATATATATATATATATATATATATATATGTATATATATATATATATATATATATATATATATTTTATATTATTTTCAGTTTGCTCATAAATATATATATTGACATAAACATATAAATATGTCGTTATATATATATATATATATATATATATACAGTAAAATCCGCTTAGTATGACATCGAAGAAACGCCGAAATCTCGTCATACTAACCGACCGTCATTAAAAGCGTACTGAAGAAAAACTGTTTAATATGCAAATATGTTACATGTTAATTTAAAAGAAAAGCCTATAGAAACGTTTTAATTAAAAATAAAAATGACACTTTAAAATTTAATATAAAATAAAATTGACATAGGGTAGGGCGGGGCACAACGGTCGTCTAAACCCAATGAACAACACATAACATGCATCAAAGAAGGATCTATCGAACTATGTTCAGATAAACTTACATACATACGTACATAATTCTTAATTATATAAATATTCTAAACTTATATGTGGAACAGAACATCAGTATGTGAATAATATCTAGTGAGTATACAATACTTAATGAAAGATTTTCTAATTATTTAAAGCCAATGTTTACTAGATGATACTCTTTGAAACAATTAATTCAATTTTTTTAGTTTTGTTCCAATATAAATAATTCATGCTAAGTTAATTTTATGTTTATGAAAAGTTATTGCAAAATTGCATATATCTTTGCATATAGAAACAAAAATCACACGTTTATTAAAAACGTCATTGAAAATTTTAAATCAAATGCTTTTGGTCAGTGCTGGATTACCCCATAGGCCCGTGAGGCCCGGGCCTAGGGCGGCACAATTTGGGGGGCGGCAAATTTTTCCGATTTTTTTTTTGTCACGGCAATTTATTTTAAGGATTGATCTTGATCTAGATAATTCTCTTCTATATATAAAAACGCACAAATTAATAAGACGCAAATACAAGCAAAAACGTATTTAATACAAATAATACTTTACAATCAAATCAAATATATGAATCAAACAAAACTAGATGCAAATTTAGCAGTATTAATTTTGACCATCTCGCCACGAAGGTTGAATTATGTGATATCACTGATTGTGAGGTACAATAAACTTTTCGTATTGCACCCTCTATGGATGGTTCCGAACCCGAAACTATTCAATTAGATAACAATTTTTGAATTTTAGTATCATCTGGTAACAATTCATAGTTTTGTCCCTTTCTGACCCTAATATAAGAGATGCGTAATTTCCAACTAAAATCATTCTGTATTTGGACCTCTCGGTGGACACTACTCGGTGGTCAGTGGTAAGTCTTTTAAAAAATATTTATGTATTATGTAATCATTTCGTGCATTCAGTTTCAAATACGTGTCATGGGACTTGTGTTTTGGTTGATTCGATGTGACTTGATTTTCTGTTGAATTATAATTATAAGAATGTAAATAAATTGAAGTAAAAATTCGTTTCTTTAATATTAAACCATTTGCGTTACATTTTCTAATTCAATATATTTGTGCTGAAGTGTCGCCTTAGTGTTTATTGTTGTGAAAATATTTAATTTTAGCCTTTGAGTTAACATAAATAATTTAATGCAATCTTTAGATTATTAAATTTAACTATAATTAAATAATATTAAATTTTAATATAAATGTTATGTTTCAGATATTTACGATTGACTACATTTGTTTTGTTTCAGATTTCATACAGTGTTTTGCGCAGTGGCGGATTGCTTTAGGGATTTATTGTGCATGAATTTTTTTTATTCAATCACATTTACAATTTTTAATTATTTTTTATAATTTTGAGTTATTTGCGTCCACATTTAAATTTTTTCTGTTCGTGCGAGTAAGTCACTCGTAATTTTAATATCGTTTGAAACGATATCCGCGTTTAAATGTGTTCCTGTCGCCTACCCCCCACGGCAGGTTCTAGTAATTCGCGTTTCGTTAATAAATTAATTTTTTTCAATCGGTGTGTGGATCCTTGCGATGTTTTTCCCAGAAGCAACGCAACCCCATACACTTTAATTTCTAATTAGTATTATATGTACAATGCTTAATTTTTTAGAATTATTTTATTAGTAGCATGGATGTAAATAACTAGTTTAAAAATCTAAAAACTTTGTTAAATAAATTACTTGTTTTTATTTTGACTGATTTTTCTGCTCCAATGCAATGAATCTGTTTTAATTAAATAATTTAAATTTTTTGTGATTGCACAATAAGTCTCCTAAACGGAGAAATGTTGAAGACGTACTGTTTGAAGTTAAAAAAAAAGGTAAGATGATACAAAACCCTAAATTATGTGAAAAATAACAAAATTGACATTTATTTTAGTGTAAATGGGCCTCGACTAAATATACCACGAGGTTGAATACTACAACAACGAACAGGAGAACATGTGTACCTATATGATGTACCAGAGCACTGGAATAAATACGAGTAGGCTACCACGTAGTATTTATAAGTCATTGTCTATTTAATTTCTTTCAAGTCACTTTTTATTTCAGGGTTGCAGAATTAATTTCTCACCGCGACGGCAAGCACCAGGACTGCTAGGAGATTGTGGTGGATTAAAAAGGTTGAAGGTACCCTTTTTGGGGTGCAATGACTGCTACTTGGTACATCTTAGCATTGCGTTTACCAATATACAGGGTTTACCTTGGAGCCCCAATCTGACTTTTAATAAAAACCGGTAATTATCTGTAGAGTGCGTAACTAACTACACGAATGAAACAGAATCTATACTTATTAACTTATTTAATGTTACCTAGTTGTGTTCGTCGTAGGTGCGAAGATATGACCGTATTTTGTAGTCATGTCTTAAGTCTAAATTCTGATATACTATTGTTTTGGTTGATCAAAAAGCTTGAAATTATAGATGTGTATGATACGGCGTGATGACAAAGGGGATCGCATACAATCGGAGAAGCCTCACTTTTTCTGGGTTGTGTGTTCTTCGCCCATGGAACAACACACGCACCACTATACACTAATTGTGCACTTACGACTCGATTGACTACCTCTGAGGACTGATACTTAAAAAGTGATTGCGTCTTTGTAACGACAGCATGCAATGTTTCCAAAGTGTTGCACAACCTTTAGTGCAAACTACATCCGCCGCCGCCCGCCTATATGGTTCCTGTCGTATGTGGTCCAGAGTCGCGATAAAGACTACACACATCATTTCCAAGGAGTTTCTAAACTCCTAAACTAAATCCCCACCTGCCTATAAGGCTCCTATCGTATGAGGTCCGGAGTCGCGATCGTTTTTCAGTATCAGTCATCTCAGGTGGTCAATCCAATACGGAGGACACAAGTTAGTGCATTAGTGATGGTTGTGATGTTGTGCCCGGCAAAAAGAACACGATCTAGAAAAATCCGATCGAGTTTTCCGATTTTAAGCATTCCCCTGCGTAATTACGCCGTTCTATACATTTTTAATCATTTCTAGCTTTATCATTAGCCCATCGTTAGTACATTCGAATTTAGGCTTAATGCATCACTATACATAAGTGCGGTCAAGCTCTCGGATCTGTAAACATAACTCGGTAACAATCAATAAGTTGGTAAGTAGATTCTGTTTTAATTGTGTAGTTAGTTAAAATCTCCACTGGTAACTGCAGGTTTTGTTGAGTCGAATTACGGCGCTAAGGTAAACCCTTCATATTGGGGAGTGAGATGCTAAACATACCAAATAGCAATCTTTACACTCTAACAAGAGTACCCTTAACCCTTTCAGTTCACCTCAAAATGGATACCTACAGGTTTTCTCGTATTCATAAGTTAATATTAAGTAATTAGACCTTGGTTAGATATAAGTATATAATATTTTTATTTTTGTTACCGGGGCCCCGTTTGTATGTTTGCCCCTATTTTTAGGGGCACTTGTGTTTTTTTTATGTCATTTCAGATGTCTTTCCAAGAAAATTGCTTACCAAATGAGTACCAAGAACTACTTCCACAACCCATAGGAGAAACTGATCAGACTAATTGATGTATCAAGATACTAAAATTATTGGCATACTGCTAACTTTCATTCCAGATGTCTTTCAAAGAACACATTGTATTGTATGTCTATATGTTTTACCAAGATATACACGAACCACCAAGAGACCACTACCGATTTAAAGGATATGTGCAAGTGGGTACCAACAATTACTTCTGCAACCCATACGAATAAATGTAATGAAATTCTATGTTTACCTCTTTTTAGGTCTTGCACGAGATTTGGCAGAAAATATCATCAACTCGAAACCAACTAGCACCACTACTACCTGAACTACCGCCTACAACTGAATCGGATGATATGACATAATCGAAAGGAAAATTAACTGTGAGATAAGACTTACTATTATCATAGTAGTATTTAGTTAATATCAGGTTAGGGGACGTTTCGACATTAAAATCTTTGGCCGTACTTTTTTTGGGGTTGTTCGCGTACTTTTATTCAGAGCTCAAAAGGGTGGCGTCATGAAAGAACCTCTCTTATATTTTCGCGCTCTTCTTTACATTAATTAATTAATTATCATTTGTCCTTAAACTTCATAGGCTGGGAACCTATGAAGTTTTTTTTCAAGTGTTTACATGGTGGATCTGGGGGGTACATCATGTAAATGCTCTTTTTTTATAAATTTACAATCACCGCTAAAATACTAAAGTTACACATTTTATATTGATTTTTTTCTTTACCACGAGAGGTTCTTTCATTTTTAAAAACCGAAATTTTTGGGTACATTAGGTCATTTCGCGGGGGTTCTTCTATTCGCGATATATTCGGGTCAGTTAGGCATAATTAGTTTGTAAGTTAGTTTAAGTGGATTAGGGCTGCACAAATCGATACTTAGTAGTATTTACACTATATCCATTTCCATCTGAAATGTTAGAAACGTAAATATGAATAGAAGTATCTATTTCTGTGGCGACACCACATTAAAAAAAACGCGCCTGGCAACTCTACCCCATGGGTGGAGGAAAAAGAGTTGCATCCTAATTAAGTACATATAATTATCAAAATTAAAATATTTAAATAATTATGTAATTAATAAACATAAATGTGACAATATATGTGTCAAAATATCTTAAAATAAAATTTTTGCAAAATAATCTTTGCTTTTTAATATATGGTTAATGTTATTTTTAAATTTTTTTTCAGAACTTCATAAAGAATTATTAGATGCTTTCAGAAAGAATATTGTCAATAATTATTAATTTTGAATTAGTTGAAAAAAACTATAAATACTATAAATACTACAATGCGAAGAGGTATATGGTTTTTGATAAAATATATGTTATCTCTTTGCATTGTAGTATTTTTTCAACCTCTAATTCAAAATCAATTACTATTATTCTTTTTAAAAGCATCTAATAATTCTTCAGAATATGTGAGATTTAAAACTTTAGTCAGAATTAAAAATAAAATTTGAATTATTTTCGATATAAACAAAAAAGAATTTTTGAAAAAATTTGAAGCAAATTTTTTTTTTCAAAATTACTTATTTTGTTGAAATAAGTAGAAAGTTTTTTGAATCATTCAAATCGGACGCTTAGTTCTCTCAAAAACTGCCATTTTTGCACATTTAGCTAGGTGTCTCCGTAACGGCTAGACCTGCCTTTGCCAGAAGCTAATTACCACTTCTTCCCATCATTACAAATTGAATGTTTTTTAGATCATTCAAATTGGATGCTCCGTTTTCTCAAAAACTCGATTTCTATTTTCTGCACTTTTTGCTCCGTAACTCCGAAATTACTATTTAAAATTACTACAACTTACCCAACGCAAAGTTAAAAATTATATCTAAATAATTCAAAATAAATTGTTTATTTAAAAAAGTAAAATTTTGTCTATTAAAAAAGGGCGCCAGAACGGATAGGGCCTAGGGCGGCAGAAAGCTTAATGCGCCACTGCTTTTGGTATGTTCCGTGTGATCAAATTATATGAATATTATGGTTACTTTTGTAACTAATAAAGGTATCTATGATATTAATAAAACCTTGCATAAAAAGTAACATGCATATTGCATTTTTTATAATTACGAAATAACCTTCACTGCCAACAATAAAATGAAATCGCTAATTTCTTTCATTTCTGTCAATCCAAATATTTTTTTAGAAAGTTGTGATGAAGAATATAGCCCTTCTTCAATTCATGCAACCATTACCCAAATAAGAGTTATAAACATGATAAGTTAATCTCTGGTAATTGTTTCTTTAATATCAATTATTTTTCTAGCTGTTTGTAGTATTTATGAATGAAGTTATGAAATTAATTGCAACTATAACTTATTAGAGATTTTTATGCATATATATATATATATAATATATATATATATAGTATAATTTAATAAATAAAAGTTTGTAAATATTTATTAGAGATATATGAAAAAAAATCGAGTTAAGAACATAAATGCATTGTGCAG